TTCAGGGCGTTAAAATTGAATAATCTTTTATCAAGTTTAGCAAATGGTCTCAGCTGGAAGAAATAGAGGAGCTGAAAAATATTCTAAATATTTGCCAGGTCTTGACCCTGGACAGAAACTTGGGGGCGCCAATTGATTTTTCCACGGGGGAAAAGGCTGCCTTCCAATTTCTAGTTGATAAGGTCTCTAAACAGATTTTATCATGGGGTTCTCTAAATTTGTCTCAGGCGGCAAAACTAGTCTTGATCAACACTGTGTTGATTAGTATTTCATCTCATGGGATAAAATGTTTTAAATTGTCTGTTTCGATCTCTAACAAGATTGATTCGATGATTACTCAGTTTTGGTGGGGAAACAAGGGGGAAAAGGAAATGCATTAGGTGAAGAGGGAGACTATCCAACTGCCAAAAGGTATGGGTGGCCTAGGTATTAGATATATGGCTTGTTTGAATGATGTCTTAATGTTTAAACAAGTGGTGAGGATACATTGTAATCCACAGTTGTTGGTGGCTCGTGCTTTAGCGCCGGACCATTCTTGCTCTTGGTGTAGGGGATATAATGTTAGGGGTTCGTGGAAATGCTTCTTGGGGAAGGCGGGGTTTGTATTATGTAGAAAACAAGATGGTGAAGGGTTACCACTGGAAAATAGGGAATGGGGGATAGAGTTAAGATTCGCAATATGAAGTGGGTGCAGGGATCGGTTCTAGAATTTAAGTTGAACTAACTCCTCCGTGGGGTTGGTACGAGTAGGGTAACAGATCTAGTTTTACATGAATCTAGGTCTTGGAATGCGGAAATCATTAGGGACAGATTCGAATGGAGTACGACATAGAAGATTCTAGAAATGGAGTTACCATCATATGAGGAGCAGGATGTTCTTTATTGGGGGGGGGTCATTCCTCGGGATTGTATACTGTGAAGTCAGGGTACTCTTTTCTAATGTGTGATTTTACTTTGCAACAGGGTGTTTTGTGTGAATTTGATTTTTACAAGCTCATTTGGAAGCTCAACATACCGCCAAAATGGAGCTTATTCCTCTGGAAGCTTATTATGAATGGTTTGGCAATTAAGTCAAATTTGGCTCATAGAGGGGTGGAGGTAGAGGTACTTTGTGATTCTTGTGGTATGGCGACGGAAGATCTACAACATTTATTGAGGATGTGCTCTTTTGCAAGGTATACTTGGCAGAACTGCCCGCTGCATATCTTCTCTAAACTTGATGAATCTACTCCACTGCGACACTGGATTCAAAAATATATCCTGCTTTTTATTAGCGAGGATGGAAGAAATAGTGAAAGAATTAATACTTTCATTGGAGTGCTTTGGAGCCTTTGGCTGACAAGGAATGGAAGGGTGTTTAACAATGAGGGAGGGTATCTGGTGGACTTATTCATGAATTACAACTCTGCTATGAGAAAATTTATCTGTTTGACAGAGGTTGGATGCGAGAAGCTCTCTTTTAGCCCAGGCCATAGATGACAGTGGTGCACCGCTGGGGTTTGCTAGAGTGAACATTGGTAGTGAAGGAAATCTAATGAGCAATCCTCGGGATGCAAGTCTAGAGGCCACTGTAATGGTGGATGGTTCCTGGAAAAAAAGTACGGGAAATAAAGGAATGGGATAGGCATACTCTTTTGACCAGACAACCTATTTGGAGGGCGGAGGAACCTTTGGAAAGGCACTTTCACCTCTACATGCGGAGCTCTTGGCTTGCTTTAAAAGCTATTTAGTGGGTAAGGTTGAAGGGATATCAGCGAGTTATGTTTTTTACAGACTCGTTAGCTATTATACATCTGCTCCAAAACTTGAAACGAAGAGAAGTCAGACTACTTTGGACTGTTGGAGATCTGATACAGACAGGGAAGCTCTTAAAGAATTGTATCATTTGGAAAGTGGGAAGGGAACTGGTCACAATAGCTCATGCTATTGCTAATATGTGTAGGGTTAAATTACATAGTTTTTCAAGTTAGTAAAGTTTATTTATAAAATTATAACAAGGTTTGATATTCAGTTTTTTTTATACGAATTATTGATTAACTACTACCATGCAAAGACGATGAAATAAAGTTACTCAAGTAATTTGAGAGTTTTAAGTATAAATAGTGTATGGCCAGGGCGATGCACCGGGTTTTACTTTAAATATCAGTGAATATTATTTGAGTTATAAAATCATAAACTATATATATAATTACAAAAAATAAGTGAACAATAATAACTATTGAAACTAAATAAACGCTCTCAAATTGATGCTTTGTACAAATTAAAGTATTTAGTGTGTTATAATTAAATATGAAGCATGATGAAAATATAGCAAGTTGGTAAGAACATTAATTCATTTGTTACAGAGTAGCCAAATTTTTATATATGGCTGGCCACTGTGTGGCCGGGGTTACTCGAGTTACTCGGTCATGACTTATTCGAGTAACTCGATCAGGGGCTATTTGAGGGGTTCGGTCAGGGGTTACTTGATCGGTAAGGGGTTACTCGAGTTACTCGGTCATGGGTTATTTGAGGGGTTCGGTCAAGGGTTACTTAAGGGCTTCGATCAAGGGTTACTCGAGGGGTTACTTGGTCAGGTGTTACTCGAGGGGTTACTCGGTCAAGGGTTACTTGAGTTACTTGGTCAGGGGTTACTTGAGGGGTTCGGTCAGGGGTTACTTGGTCAGGAGTAACTCGAGTAATCCCGACCACACAGAAAAATCCCCCTACAGAGTATTGGTCTTGTGTTCAAACCTTGTGATAAACATAATAACGGAGAAAGTATATATAAAGGTTGTCACGTGGCACATATCTTGTTTTAAAGTATAGAAGTATAGATGATAATTTATACACAACCCGTGCATAGAACGGGCCCTATTGCAACTTGCAAATAAAAAATAAGATGGAAAAGTACTACTCGTAATACATATTCTTAATATGCTCCCTCCGTTAATTTTTATTTGCAACTTTTGCCATTTTAGTCCGCTAAAAATTATTTGCAACTTTCTAATTTATTTCCATTTTTGGTAAACAAAAACCCTAAAAATTACTATTTTACCCTTACTTAAAATTTGTGATTTTTTTAATTCTACCCCTTATTAACCCTAATCCCACATTACATACAAAACATCTAAATTAACCTAATCTAATTACTCCCTCCATTTATTTCCCCCAATCCAATCCCAACAGCCACATTCACAACCACCAACATTTAATTGAAAAAACATTGGGATTATTTCTGGCTTCTCGAGTCTTCTTAAGAACCCTAGATCTGGTTCTTCGACTTTCACTCTCCTTCGCCTCTGTAATTTTCTCCATTGAAACACTGAAATCTGAGTTTTCGTCCTCTCAACTTCCAAAAAAAAGAGTCCCTCACCACCATGGTTAACCTATCTCCACTTCGCGACGCTTATATCGCCATCGATGACAAGGGCGAGGCAAACTTGATAAAAACCCTGATGACCGGTATCGCCGAAGGATCTCCTTTTCCTTGTGAGTTATACGCGTTTGAGGAGGCCCTGAATTACTGTTCTCCGACCACATACAAGGCCTTGGGCCAAGTTCTTGAAAGCGTAGACGAGGATGAGCGTCGCAAGACCGGTGAGGGTCAAGGAGATTCACGGGGGAAACAAGCGCTAGACTACACTGGTGTTTCTGTAGATCCAGTGTGCGACAGTGCTGAGGGGAGTGTTATGCCCAAAACTAAGCCCAGATCTAACAATCCAAGGCCACCACGCAAGATTCGGCCTAAAAGGAAGGCGGCCTGGGTGGCTTTGAGTCGTATTCGGGGGTTGCCTGCCAAGGAGGTCATTATCCTGACTTCTGATGACGAGGCTGACCAAGGTGACGACGGTGAAGTGGTTGGCCCTCTTCTGAAGAATCACTTTGCGAGGCGTATGAATCTTAGGGTTTAACCCTCCAAGTGACCCTTGCGTAACGCTTTCTAACCCTTCCTGTGTTAATTTTTTTTAAAAAAAGAGTCCCTGTTTTTTGATTTTTTCGATATACTGTTGATTAGCTTTGTTAATTGGTTGGTGTTGTGGGATTCTGTGACTAGATCTGGATGCATGTTGGCTTAGTTGGTTTTGTATGCGTAGATCTGGATTGATGTTGGATGGTTGCATGTTTTTGATTGCCTGCTCTTTTGTCATGTTTGTTGTTCCGGAATTTGTTGGCTAGATAGCCTGTTTGTTATTAGCTGGTCAGTTGGATGCTTGGCTATGTCTACTGTTCTGGACTATGTTGCATGTATGCATGTGGTGGAGTATATTTTAGCATGGATGGTTGCCTGTTTTTGATTGCCTGCTCTGTTGTCATGTTTGCTGTTCCGGAATTTGTTGGCTAGATAGCCTGTTTGCTATTGGCTGGTCAGTTGGATGCTTGGCTATGTCTGCTGTTCTGGACTATGTTGCATGTATGCATGTGTTGGAGTATATTTTAGCAGCTGTTGGATTGTTGGAAAATGGCATATGGGTGTTTGATTGATGAATGATGAGGCTAATGTGTCTGTACATTTTTTAAAGGTGCCTTGGTCATACCTTGAAGTGTTCTCAATGATCAATTAAGTAGAGAACACATGACAGTCCCTTATGTGGTAGCATGACTTGTATTCAGTCCCCTAAGTGTCTGTGTTGTGTACTCTGTCAAAATCCAAATGAGGAAGGGACTCTATTGACCTTCCCAACCCACAATTGTTTTGCTCCAATGATGTGCTTTATGCTGTTATTGTTGAGGTAACCTTGTGGTTGGTGGTTTATTGAAACACGGAAAAAAAAAAAACTTCTGATGGATTGAGTGCCCACTTAACATCAGACTCTTAACCATTTCTATTCCATTGAACATGTGGTTACAAAAGTACTTGACATTAGACTGCCTAACATGATTCATCACTGTAATCAACAAAATACACCTAACCACCTAATACCAGAATAAAAAACAGAACATAAAACAAAATTACCATACCAACTGTAAGTGGTTATGTGTGGCAGTCCATGTGTCTCTACTTTGATGTGATGAGTCCCTCAGTCTGCATCTACCTCAAATTCTTCTGTTCCTTGTTCAGTCCCCTCATTTACTGGCCTAAACATAGTGTTTAGGTACTCCACTGCCTCCAAAACAAGTTCCTTCTGCACTGGTACATTATTTGGCAACTCTCCAAGGTTTTTGAGTTTTTTCTTGTTTATGTGGGGTAATTTGTACTTATTCCCACCTTGTACCTTAAGGATCTCAATCATGCACTTTTGCAAAGACAGCCAAATGTACTTGTTGACTTGAGGATTGAATGCCTCATAAGATTCTTGCACTTTTGTAACTAACTCATCTAGGTTGCTAGGAAAAGACTGATATTGCAATGATTGAATTGACCTAAACAACCCTAAGTCAAGCACATTCAAATCTGGTGATTGTGGTGGTTGAAAAACAAATTGAATGTTAAATCCATGAGCTGTTGTTGCTGCCATAAACTCTGCATCAGTAGGAACTTGGTGTGGCCTTGCATTGTCCCATTGGATTACAATATTTTTTGGCTGACTGTCAGGCCACTTTGAAATAATTGCTGGAATGACATTGGCCACCAACATGTCTCTGATCACCTTTCTGTTTACATTATGTATTGCTTTTGTTTCCCATGTTCTTGCTACTCTGTTTTTACTTGACTTCTTGGCTAGTTGTTTGACTGTGAATGGGAATATTCCATATTTCCTATCATGAAGTAGTCCTCCATCTGTGTCATACAATGGCTTCCCAATTAAGCCCATAAACATTGCTTTGAGCTTGAATCTTGTGGACTGTATAGGCCTATAAGGATCTTCCTCACTAGGTAGGAGGTAAAACCTCCTCTTGTCAGGGTTTCAGATAGAACCATTTCTCATCCATGTGTATCACATTGTTCATTTCAACAAATGTTGGGTCCCCATTACTTGTAACTGGATTTATGTGTGACAACATCCATTTCATTCTTGCTACCTTGTGGTCTGATGTCAGGACTGGCTTGTTGGTACTTGTGTGTGTTCTTAACCTTCCCTTTTTCTTCAAACTGTGAAGTGTCACATGGGAGATCTTTAATGCTGTTGCATAGCTCCTTTCTGTTTGCCTTAAATGTAAAGGCACTGATTGTAGGAATTCATCAGAAAATTCCTTTGGCTTTCTGCCTACTCTGCCAAATTTTTTGCCCCTGACATCAATCAAACTACCCTGTGCCATTTGCTTCTTTATGTCTGCAAAAATTCTTGTGATGCTTGATTTGTGCACATTGTAATTAACTGCCAAATGCTTTAAGTGACCTCTTGGTAAGTTGCCTTGATGCATGTTGACCAACATTGAATCTACTATTTCTCTTCTTTGTTTCATGGTGAGCTGCTTTCTTTGTCTCTATTGAATCCCCTGGTGAATGGCTTGTTCCATTTCCTGGAAACCACCCTCAGCTTGTGTGTGTTCAGTGTTTTGCTGCCCTTGGTCTTCTCCTTCTGTGTCTTGCATCATATCATCTTCAGAGTCGTAGTAATCCATGCCTAAATCTTGCAAATTTTCTGCGTATTCGTAGTACAATTCTGCCTCTTGTTCTTCTGTCAAAATTTGATCCACATCGAAGTACGTCGCTTCAAATGAGTCTGCCATGGTTGTCTAACCTTGTTTGTTTCCTTAGCTTCAGTTGATTGATGTCACGGTGGCTGCTGTGTTTTTTTAGAACAAGATGAAGGAAGAAGGAGCTGCAGCTGCCTATGAAGGTGTTTGGGTCTTAGTCGGGTAGCATTAACTTAATTGTAGGAATTTTTTTGGTATATAATGGGCTAACTTAATTGTATTAACTTAATTATCTTTTGGAGGAACAATGTTTATGTTTTGGGTGAACAAGAAACCATTAAATGTTGTTTGAATGGAGAGGCTGTATTTAATTGCCTCTGTAATATGAAATGCACTGCTTATATAGGTCTGCAGATTTCAAACAGTACACTGTTTTGTATTGTAGTTTAATATTTCAGCAAATTTTTGGTGGGAAATGAAATTTCTCCAAATTTCAGCCCACAACAAAATTTCAACGAAATTTTTGGGGGAAATACAATCCCTCCAAAAGTTGTACAGGTTTTCCCACTACTTTTCTTAGTGGTGGGCCAAACCTTTCTCTCTCCAAACACTTTAATCACATTCAATTAACCCCACTAATATTTGCCCCTTAACTTTTGCCTCGTGAACCGCGATTCCCCCTAAAGTTGCAAATAAAAATTAACGGAGGGAGTAGCAAAGTCTTGTTCTGTTAGACTTATTTTTCATTCAATTCAATCCGTCAAATTTTTTTTTAAGTTTAGTTTAGTTTAGTTTAGTTCGGTTCAATTTAACTGAAAAAGTTTCAAGCCTCACGACTCTCCTTCTAGTCTTTACACGTACTCTCTCTCTTCAGTACAGTAAAGACCGCTCTACCGCAACAGCCACCAGCAAAACCGCAAAATCGCCGCGCCATTTCTACGTTAGTACTTTCCTCTCTCTTCCATTGCATTATCATTTTTTCCAGATTTTTTAGAGCTTTTTTAATTTGTTAATTGAATACCATTTTTGTGAAATTTGGGTATGAACTCTGGAATTGTTTAGGAATTAGGGTTTGGCTGAATAAATAGTTGAGAATATTTTGGCGAATTTGTCATTTATTTACTCTGTCTGTTAATTCGTTCGATTGTTTGATTGTCTTATTAATTGACTTTTTGAATTTTGAACTTGTTTAGTAATCAATCAAATTGATATAATGGGTTCGATTGTTGGATTAATCTGCTTATGAATTAATTGATTGATATCGTGTTTGTGAATCAATTATGGTGGAGAAACTTGATATGTTAGAAGTAATGATTGCTGTTGAAAGGCTTGATAAACAATTGATCGCGTTATCTGTATTGTGAATTGTGTTTCTCATTGTTCCGAAGTTAATTTAATTAGGAATTGATGAATGATGTTCCTAAATCAATTTTATCAGCAAACTATGGACAAACAACAGAAAATAATGATGTTGAGATTCATAACTTATGGAGCATTTCCTCAGTACATTTTTGGGTTACACAATTTACATTACTTGAAAAGACAAAGACATGTAACACGTAGTATATCTTTTCTACTTTTGTTGCATCTCCATTACTGAAACCCTGGATCCCATTTCTGGTATAGTGAATTAGCAAGGGACTGAATATCATAACTGTAAATTTGACGCTACTTCTAGGCATTGATTTGCATGATTTATGTGGTTTTCTGATGTCAATGGCACTCGTACTTCATTTCAGCCGCACAAGTATGAGTCGTTTTGACTTTTCTCACAACATATGGATGAAGCTGCAGTAGAAAAGAGCTGTAAACCCAGAGATGATCATAATATCAAAGACATTGCCGTTTGCTTGAGAACTAGCGAGCAAGGAACCCAAAGATTATTCTTTTTTAAATCTCCCATCCTGAAAGAAAAGAGCAAATTTTTTGCTGATCAGCTCTTGTCCCCTACCTTTGGTTCTTGCATTGAAGTTCATTGCTCAGTTGCTGACTATGATCACTATGTTCATCTCTTGAGCCACCTTCACCTTCCTGCTAGCGCACTTGTTGACTCATGGAAAAGTGTGAATTCAGCCCTTGGCGTCCTCCAGGTTGCAGTGTCCCTACAATGTGAAGAAATTGCAAAAACATGTGTTGATTACTTAGAAGCTGTTCCCTGGGAAGATAAGGAAGAGGAGGAGATATTAAGAATTGTGCCGAAACTCGGTGATTTAGCCTTGCCTATTTTGGCCCGGCTAAAGCCTCTAGATCCAAATTCTACCAAAAATGTATTTCTTGCTGCAGTTCGATATGCCATGTCCATCTCTCCTCCTTGCCCTCCATTTGGAGATGAAATTAGGATTTCTGCTCAAGAGCAGATAGAGTATATGCTAGGGGAAGATGAAGAGACCCCACTAGTTACGGCTGATGATGAAGTAAGATCTGAGATAAGAAAGGGTCTTTCTCAGATGTTTATGATGTTCCAAAAGGAATTTTCATCACTCCTTTCACACTCTGACCTTTCCTTTGAAAATTCTGAGAATATTATATTGCACAATTTAAGCGGTCTTGAATGGTTATGTAATTTGCTTCCAAAGATAAACTTAATGGGAGATTTTGTCTTGAAGTGGGCTGATTTATCAAGCTGCATATTAGGCATGGCTGAACACCCAAAGTTGGAATCTGTCATGTGGAGTTTAAAGTTTAAGCTTATCGAGATTACTGCAAAGGTGTTGGATGCGGTGGGCTATGGCATTGTAATTTTGCCTTCTGAATGTAGGATGCAATTGTTGAAGACATGGCTTCCTTATATTCAGAAAATGAAGCCTGTTCTGGATTCTGTGGGCAATGACGAGACAGGCTTCCCTTACAAGATGGATGAAGACCTATGCCAGGGCATCCAGGGAGCTATTGTTTCGGTTATAGTAGCATTGCCATCAAATGACCAGGCCGATATACTGGGTGATTGGATGGAATCTGAGCAGTTAGGCTATCCTGACTTAACTGAAGCTTTTGAGATATGGTGTTACAGAACAAAGTCTTCTAAGAGAAGGTTAGTAGAGGGATTGGATAGAGTAAGTAATGACTCGACCAGCTCTGATTTATCTTCCTGATTATTCCTTTTGGCCCTAATGTGTCAGAAGAGTGTAATTTGATCATTTTCTACTCACGATCCAATTTCAGCACCATTGAGAATTGTAAATCAATGGATTCAAGTCGTGAGTATTTAACCTAACTTTTACATGCTTGACCTGGTTTTCTACTCCATTTATGCTTGCTGTTAGCTGTATTACTGTATATTGCGTTTTCATATATTGATTTAAGCCAATGGTGACGTGATGTAAATGTTTGATGCTTATCAGATTTATCTGGACCTATGTTTTTGTTTAGAAATATTCCATGCTTAAGCCTTAATATGGCTCAAGGTTTCTATTGAGATGACCAATTCATGGTTCACAAGCTATAGTAGAATTACTTTAACCATGAATGTGCAGAATTTGTCACAATGGTGACATATTTTGTACTTCTTATATAGTAACTAATTTGTATCTTACTGGTAGATCTATGAACTATGATACGATCCAACTCTTGATTTTTTCCATATAATTATGAATGAGAATGACCTTTCTTCAGAAGGTTTGTAGGGAGCCAGCCTTATTATTTATGAAGTCTTTGAACTGTCTTTGTACATCATTCAAATTAACAACCAAGAACAAAATCGCCTACAGCCCTACATCTCATGCTTTTTTGTCACTAGGCAATTTGATGGTTACAAACCATGAGAATTGAGAAGTATTTAGGTTTCATACTCTCATGTTGGGATGACCCGATAAGGTAGGCACACCACACGGTGCATGGTGCGCACATGTCCCAAACCAAGCTAACCAAATTATTGTGGCATATTGCGCATGGGGATGTCCTCCTTTAGCCCAAAGCTCAAAAGTGTTCTTCAAGTATGAAGTATTAAGCTATTAACATTTAAACTTCATATATAAACCAAGAAAAACTTTCTTGTTCTTACAGGGAATACACTCTTGAATTTTCTTAGTCAACTTTCTTGCTCATGCTGTCCTCCTCGTACAGTTGATTTCATCAAGACTACATTTTTATTATGTGATCAAATGTTTCAATTTGGGTGATGTGTACAATGGTTAGTTTAGAATACTTCTAATTCAAGTCATTGAATATAGTATGATACATCAATCAACATTACATCAATCAAATAATCTAATTTCAAATACAATTTGAGTTTAAAGTCGAA